CCAGAAATATTTATTTACAAGAAATTTCTGGATTCATTTACACAACCATTCATTTGACTCTGTGTAATAATGATTTGCTAATTTTAAAAGTTTTATTACATGAAAATCTCAGTTATGTGAATAGCTTCTCTATTTAGAGCCAGGACTATTTTTAATCAATATACTGTTGTTTGTTTCAGCTAAATCTTGATTCTTAGTATTTGGTCTTTGCTATGTAGGTATCTTTCTATTTATAACTATTAGGAGTAAAGAGATCACCTCTGTTTTATGCTGTCATCCACTGTAAATCATCATTCTTGTCATGTTGCCTTACCTTAAAATTTTTCTCCAGTGTTCTACATAGTTTCTTAATTATTAATTTCTAAACAAAAACTTCCATCTGACATCAGGTATGAGCCATATAATGTTGTTTTGCAATCTTATCACATAAAGAGCTCGGTTTCAGCACAGTGGACATGGTGCCACTCAACAAATTTTTGGTGTGTGATCAGTTTTCTGGTTAAGCAAAAGATACCTGTGGAGAGCTGGATATGAGGATGACAATCAGTTTAATCTGGGATTAATCAGTTTAATCTGGTTCAATCATGGGAAGGCAGCACCAGCTTTAGCACAGCAAGGGGAATACACGCAGTTCTCCTTGAAAAGAAAATCTTGGAACATTAGGGACTTTAAGAATCTTGGGGCAAAACTTGTTCACATCACAAATCATGTGATGATTGCAAATCATGTTCGCATCACAAACAAACAAGTCATGCTAAGATGAACAAGGGCCTCATTCTCCCAAGGTCAGTGTCTACCCTGTATCCTTGTCATGAGTGCTTACTTTGATTCCTGACTGGAATCTATGTAGGGAGCTTCGAAATCTTGTGGCAGTTTTTATCTCCCTGCCTCTGTACTGTGAATGCCCAACACTGACCCAGCACTGCCTACTCAGGGTGAACATGGAGAGGCCCAGCAGGTGGGCAAAACTGTTCTTGATGATCTGATATGGGCTCAGAGAACTGCATGTTTCAAACATTCTCATTAATTCATTCTTGCTGATGAGTTACAGAGTACGGACACAGTAAGTTTATGCATCTGAAACGCATAGTAAGCAAGCACTTTATTGAGGATTTATACACGTGCTTCCTCCTTCCAGGCTTCTGTACAAAGAAGTCTCTAGGTATTGTGTGAAGACCCAAACTTGTACCAAATAAAGGCAAATGCACATATGTCAAGAAACTATAAGTATTTGGCTAAAGAATTCTAAGTAGAAAAGACAGGCTACACTTCTACATAAATCCAAGCTTGCAACTCCAACATAGAAATGGCGATTACTCCACTGAATCCTTTAGAGGATGAAGCAGATTGGAGGCTGAATTAGAAAGTTCTAATGATGTAAGAGAATGAAAGAAAAGTTGCATTCAAAATGCCATGCCATCCTGCCTCTTTAATTTATGTCTGAATTTGGAGCTCCATAAGGAAATTGTATTGAGCATGTGATTTCAAAAGTACTTACATCCTTTGAGCGTTTGTTTCAGCAACTATAAGTTCATTCTCAAACATGTAATTAACACCTCAGTTTCTCTGAGGTGGTAATGACATTTATATAGGTCTTAGAGAAGTGAGGGCAAAAATCGCCACATGCTTTTGAAAAGCCAAAGATTAGAATTAGATGACAATATTAGTACCTATATTTTAAAGCCAGTAGGGTTAAGCTTCTCCAAAAACATGTTTACTATGATTAGCTATATATAATTACCAATACAATCTTTAATTTCTTTCCTTAAAATCAGAGTGCATACTATCCTAAGTGGTGTTATTAGTGCATTCTAATCCTTCCTGCCATGCTAATATGTTTAATCAAAGCTCTAGCACAGTTTGTACGAGCATGTTGCCTGTTTCTGAACAGCAAATTGCAAACATGATTCCAACTAATAGCATGTGGCTTTAAAAGAGGACGTGCTTTGTTTTTGGGTTTTTGGTTTTATTTTATTTTATTTTTTTGTATTTTTGAGACAGGGTCTCCCTGTAGCTCCAGCTGTCCTGGAACTCACTATGTAGACCAAGCTGGCCTTGAACTCACAGAGATCTGCCTGCCTCTGCCTCCCCAAGTGCTGGGATCAAAGGCGTGCGCCACCACACCTTACTAAAAGAGGACATGCTTTGTTTTTACTTTCTGGATAATGAGTTGAAAATTGTTTGGTATTTGAAAAAAGAAAAAAGTCTCCACATGTACGTGACATATCTAAAAGTTACACGGCGGTCTTTAGAGAGCTCAAACATGGAAAACTCTCCTCTGAAATACTACCTTGCTCTGTGAAGTTTGGTGGGTAATTTGGTACTTGTACTGTACATTTTATAGGATTTTCAACACAGTAGCAAAAGGATGGCCCAAATCAGTTCTGGTGATTACAAAGGCAATAGCTCAATACTAGTGAACAATAATGAAGACCTCTGAGCAACACTACTTGGGAAACTTGCTTTTCGCAGATACTTGAGGGCTCCTCTCTGAGATTCAAAATATGTAAATGAATCAGTATGTTAACAGAAGAGCAGTACATCAAAACTCGAAACGAGCTAGAACTGTGTGGTGAAAAGACACAGCGTTCTATTTTTTCTTTTCATCCTTGAGTATAATATTTTAAAAATAGCCTGGCATGGTGGCACACACCTTTAATCCCAGCACTCTGGAGGCAGAGGCAGGTGGATCTCTGTGAGTTCAAGGCCACCCTGGTCTACATAGAGAGTTCCAGGAGAGCTGGGGCTACAGGGAGACCCTGTCTCCACAAGACCAAAAAAAAATTTTTTTTTAAAATAATGTCTTCCTTATCTCTTCCACAGAAACTAGTACTAAAATTTAGTGAGGTCTCCATGGTGATCAATCAATCATAAGCAACATTTCTCAAAACATCTAACAGGAAATGTGTATTTCTGCAGGTGCAGTGACTCTTGTGCTGGTGGTGTCTCCCAGCCAGGAGCTGTCTGGATTTCCTGCCAGACCACACCCTAGTCTCGGCCAGCGATGCTGGCCACTGTCCACAAAGGAGCTGAGCCCTGTGTGGGCAAGAGTCTACAGCAGGAGCTGATGGGCCTCATGATGTCCGGTGACAACCTTTCAAATGGACAGGGACCATCCATGGAGCAGCTGGCACAGTTTCTGAAGACCTGAGGTATAAACCCTCTCTAGAGTTCCCCAGTAGCCATGCTCACTAGCATGCACAGATATGTCTTCATACCTGCCACCACTCTAACGTCAACATGCAACCTAACGTGCCTGGATATCCTCAAGGGCAAGCGGCCTGCCTGGAGGACATCACATCCACCTTGCTCTCCAGTGGAGTAGGAGGCTATGCAAGGGTGCCTGCCAATTGGGAAGTGGGTATATAGATGAATAAGATTGTTTAGGATGTTCTGTATGATGTACACAAAAAAAATCAACAAATTAAAGAAAACCCGACGTATTTGAGAAAGAAGCATAAAAATACGCTTCATGTTAATTAGTAGAGATTTCAACATTACCATTAAAATCTACCTGATGATTTTATATCTATATTCGGATGCTGATGATCCAAATGTAACTGACTGTGACTAATAACAATTTCCAGAGCAAAGGTGCATCTCTTTCAAAATTGGCTGTAAATATTTAACAATACAGTTGAATTCATACAGCTATACAGTAGTGAACTCAGTATTTTTAAAATGAAATGGAGATCTTTTTTAAAGTTAAAACTTCATTCAATTTTATGTCTTATAGGGTTTATACTGAGTTCACTACTGTATAGCTGTATGAATTCAACTGTGAACCTAAATATTTACAGCCAATTTTGAAAGAGATGCACCTTTGCTCTGGAAATTGTTATTGAACATGTTAATGCTGTGATGAAATGCTTCTTCTAATCATGTGGTTATTAAATAAACAATTAAAAAAAAAGAAACCTTCTGGGCGTGGTGGCGCATGCCTCCTAATCCCAGCACTCGGAGGCAGAGGCAGGTGGATCTTTGTGAGTTCAAGGCCAGCCTGGCCTACATAGCGAGTTCCACAACAGCTGGGGCTACAGGGACACCCTGTTTCAAAAAAGAAGCAAAAAAAAGAAAAGAAACCTACTCAGAGCAGGTCTCCAGTCAAGAGCTATGAGCCAAGGCAAGCAGCCTCTGGTCTATGCCCATTTTGGTTTTTCCTTAGATGATCTGTTCTTTCCTGGATCAGATAATGACTCTGCATCTTTAACTATGGTTACTTTTGTTTTATTTCAGTTTTTAAAATTAAGTCTGCTTAAGCCCTTACAATGTATATTAAAATAAATCCATGTTGATTATATTTGTAAAGAAAAAAAAAAGAAATGTGTATTTCTTTCTGTATCATTTCAGTGTCATTCCATCATACACAACAGGCTCATGAACCTTCCTAAAATGTGTAGATTAGAAGCCACCTACAACTGAACTTTTTATAACAGTTACTAAAGTCTAATTTTCTGTGCCCTTCAAAACTCACTGAATTACATTACCTAAATTTGTTCTAAGTATTTGGAAAGAATCAAGTAAATATCAAAATGAACATTTTTCTAAATCCTTCAGCTCTGTCTCCTCTCATCACTCTTCCTTGTTTCTCTCTTTCATGTACAAACACACACGTGTGTGCGCGCACACACGCGCACACACACACGAGAGAGAGAGAGAGAGAGAGAGAGAGAGAGAGAGAGAGAGAGACTATCATTATATGATTTTCCATTTGTCCGTAACACTAAAGTTTAAAATTTTAAAGAAATTAATTCTTTGTTTATAAACTTTCAACCATTATGAAAATTAGATATTTCATTAGAGATTATTGGGTAGGTATCACGATAGTATTTATAAATCTATTTCTAAGCAGAAAAAATTCAATTAGGAGACCCCTTGAAAATGTTGTAGCATCCTGGAACATTTTGTACCTCTATAATTAGTGAGATGACAGCTTCGGAAATTCATAAAATCCTTATTTCATTTTGGAAAATTACGACATTAGGAAAAAGGAAGCTCACCACTTCTTCATGTCTGCATTTTCTCACATTAATCCCATTTATCTGCAATAAAAAGAACAGCCTTGATCCACATGGCACAGTGCAGACTGGCTTTATATTTAGGTCAACATAGATGATACTTGGACATATACCTGTAGAATGGCGTCTCCAATGAAGAGTAGTCCAGAAAGTTCCGCTGTGAAAAAGAAGAAAAATTGATCACATGTTAATATTATGTATATTATTTCTGAGAACTTCCTACATGAATACTGTATTTACATAATTTTAATTCTTTCTTTTCATCACAAAATTGTCTCACATCCCCTCTCTGATATGCTCCCACTTTTTGTGAACTCTTCTTTAATTATTGTTACGTGTATGCGTGTGTGTGTGTGTGTGTGTGTGTGTGGGTGTGTGTGTATTCAGACAAATGAGACTTAATTTTAATTGGTGAAAACATAACAAAATAAAAATTTAAGTGTTTCATATTGTTAGCATTTTAAAAGATCCATAAAGAATAGAAACTCAAAGTAGTACTATGACTTATCCCTCATTAATTACTGAAAAATCAAGGATATTCCTATTTGATTCTACTATTTCTGAACTTACGCAGAACTCAGTAGTTCAAATCTAGCCACTCTTATGGATGAGTGACCAATTTCCTTTATACATTTATTATATGTTGTCTCTGAAGTCTAGATAAAGAATATCCATCTGTTCCAGCCTTTATGGAAACATTATGTTGTTTCACAGATCATAGACAATGCAGCCCTTGATTTGTATATTTATCATTTTTATAAACAAAGCCTCACAAGAAGGGCTAATTGAGTCAAACTGCACATGAAAATTGGAAAAGAAATGTATCTAGTGTTGTCTGTGCTAGCTGGGATTGTTTTACTATGTGTTTCCTACAATTGAGAAAGTGTTTGGTCTTGAATGCACATATGGTAATTTGGAATATTAACTTTCATACGTTTTCCCAATCTGTGCAAGGCTCTGTCTTATGGAGAGATTCCAGGGAACTAGAGAATCAAGTTAAGCCTCTTCCTCTTTGAGACTGGGTAACCAATGGAGCCAGGCACATACCAATGACTTTTAGGGGATTGACCACTAAACAGATAGCTGAGCATCTTACCTCTTTGCTCCTTGGAGATTTTGGAAATGACAACTGGAATGTTATGCTCTGCACCTCCCTAGAAAGACACAATCATATATCATTGTTTTTAATACCCTCAAAATTCAGCTTTTAGCCAAAAAACTATAGAAGCTAAGAACAGCAAATCCAGTGAGCACCAGGGCAGAATTTAAATAAGTTTGTATAATTACTTCTTGGTAGGTAGCACTCACATAGAACTTATTTATTTAGAAATCTTTCCAGAGACATCCAACATTTAATGACAATTTAATATGAAATTCTAATTTCTCAAAAATATTGATAATATACACAAAGTTTGAATGTGACATTCAACTCAAATCATTATAGGAATGCAATCCATTGTGGCAATTCTTACTTAGGACTCCAGGCACAAGATATATGTATATTTCAATTTTCTGGCTAATTTATTCTGTGTTGGCCAACAAGCACTTTTGCACTTTTGAAGGTAGAGACATTCTGAACGCTAAGTTACCAGAGAGAACTCTACCTGCGTGAGTGGATGAAGAGAGGAGCGGATGCATGATGGGAACAGACCCATCCCCATTTCCTTAGTATTATATTTCTGTGTATGAAAGCACATGCTAAACAATCGTCCCAGTTAGGTACATAACCAAGAATATCACAGCAGTGCTTGGTTACGGGACCAGATATGAAAAGGAAAAAAAAATGGACAAGAATGTAATTTAAATTTTTGTAAAGGAAAATAAAATATATATTTAAATAAATACTGTGTGAAGCTCCTCTTTCACTATTGTGGAGTTAATTAGATTGAATGTGGCATTTAAAACTCATATAAGTGCCCTACTGTCCTGCCTGGGTCCTAGGTTTCTTCTGCCTGTCAGAGAGCCCTTGACTAGATTGGTATGTAAGTCAAATCCCACCAACTAGGTCCTCACCTCTGCACCGGAACCAGCCCCATTCAGCACCGCTGATTTCCAAATCCGAACTTGTCCTTTTGCCCCCCATCTTTCCAACATGGGCCTGTGCCCTTTAGCCCAGACAGAGAACTTGCAACTAAACTGCCTGAAATCATACCATCCCTACAATTATGTTTAAATGTGAGAACCTGAGGTACAGACTAACTAACCACACATACGTGATCAGAAAGAAACCAAGTTATATCAACAAGAAAAACAGAACAAAGACTTAACAAAGGAAGGCTAGAATTTCATAGCAGACATGCAATCAACAAATTGAGTTCTTATGCCAACAATGCATAAACACAAATGATGTAAAAAAAAAAACAAGATAATGTACCCCCAACAAATCCCAGCAGTCCTATGGAAGTGTTGTACTGTGAGAACTACCCAGTAGAACCCAGGACACAGACTTTAAAGAAACAGATCATAAACAAGATCAAAGAATTCAATGAGTTTAAAGAGCACTCAAGCAAACAACTCAGAGAACTCAATGAGGATACAAACAGCCTCCCGACTGAAGCTGAAGAAAATACAAGCACATGGCTGCATGAAATGACAAAGATATTCAGGACTTGAAAAGCGAGTTTATGAAAAAGATAGGCTTCTTGAAGGAAACACATGTTAAGGGGATGATGTAACTGAATAACTCAGTAAGCTAATTTGAAATGACAAGAGAAAGCCTCACCATCAGAATGAATCAAATGAAAAACAGAATATTAAGATGAGATGATAAAATTATAGGACTGAACTCTTCAAGCAAAGAATATGAAAATTATTGTAAACCACAGGAATGGACTATGCAGGAAACGTGGGATATGATGAAAACACCAAATCTATCCATCACAAACAGAGAGCAGGCAGAACAATCTCAGGCCAATGGCATTGACCGGATCTTCAGGATTAAAGAAGAAAGCTCCCCTAAATTAAGGAAAGACATACCCATAAAGATACAAGAGGCATAAAAAACACTAAATAGCCTAGACTAGAGCACAAACTCCCAATAGGATATCACAGTGAAAACCCTGAATGTACAGAACAAAGAGAGAGTACGGAAAGCTGCAAGAGAAAAGCAAGAAATTACTTATAAAGGATAACCCATTAAAATTAAAGCTACTTTTCAATGAAAATTATAAAAGACAGAAGAGCCAGGAACAAAGTATTCCAAGATCTAAATGATCACAGATGCCAGTCCGGACTATTTATTTCAGCAAAATTCTCTATCACCAATGCCAGCCTAGACTATTTTATTCAGCAAAATTCTCTATTATAGTTGAAGGAGAAAGAAAAATCTTCCATGATACAGATAGGCTAAAGAAATCATGTTCAGTAACCAGCCCTACAGAGAATACATAAAGCAATACAAAGGGCTGAAGAAAGGAATGACCATAACCAAGAACATCCAGAGCAGAAAAACACTGAAAGCATACTTTTGGAAACACAAAATAGAACTAAGAACAGAAACAGAAAATAAAATGACAGCAACCAATAAAAATTTTTATTAATAAATTTAAATACTGTATTAGTTAAGACACCACATCCATGGCAACTTATAGAAGGAAGAATTTGTTTGGCTTACAGTTCCAGAGGAGAGTCATAATGGCGGGAAAGGATGGTAGCAGAGAAGAAATGATTACATTTTCAAGCAGGCACAGGAGGCAGAGAGAGACAGGCAATACTTCAAGTCTTAAACACTCTCAAAATCCGCCCCTAGTGGCATGCTTCCTTAAGGAAGGTCATATCTTCTAAATATCCCCAAACAGCACCACCAACTAGGGACACAATATCCAAATGCTTGGAGCCTATAAAGGACATTCTCCATCAAACCAGCACAAACATTCCTGGTCTCAACTCACAAGTGAAAAGACACAGGCTAGTTGAATAGATTAAGAAACAATCCACCTATTTGTTGATAGAAGAAATTCATCTTACTTTCAAGGCTAGCCACCACCTTAGAGTAGACAAAATATTTTAAGCAAATGTCACTAAGAAACAGGCAGGCATTGCTATATGACTATGTGACAAAATAGACACTAGAGTAAAATTAATCAGAAGCGATACAAAAGGTCACTGCATTCTGATCAAGGAAAAATCAGCCAAGGAAACATTACAATTATGAACATATATGCAAGAAATTCTGGTGAGCCCAATTTCATTAAAAGAGTTCTACTTGACTTCAAGGCATGGTTTAACCACACAACTCAGTAATAGTAGGTGACTTCTATACTCCACTTTCCCCAATAGACAGGACATCTTGACAAAGAATCAACAAAATGACATGTGAATTAATGATATCATAAATCAAATGGACCTAAGAGATGAACACAGAATATTCCTCCCTAGCACCCAGAATAAACTTTCTGCTCAGAAGCCCATGGAAATTTCTCTAAAATAGAACATATACTGGGTCACAAAAGAAACTTCAAAAATACTAGAAGATGGAACAAATTCAATGTATTGTATTGGACCACAATGCAATAAAGCTTGAAATCAACAGTAAAGGAAGTGCTAGTAACTATAGCAACTCATGAAGATTTAACAACACACTCCTGAATGATGAATGGTCAAAGAGAAAAATCAAGAAAGAAATAAAAGTGTTCCTGGAACTAAATGAAAAAGATAACACAACACAACGAAACATCTGGGACACATTAAAAGCAGTCCTAAGAGGGGAGTTTACGGTTCTAATTACCTACATGGGAAAAATACAAAAGTAAATGACTTAATGGTATAACTAAAGAATCTAAAAAGACAAGAACAAAACATTCCCAGCAGAATAATAAAAACCCACCAGAAATAATAAAAATCAGAGCAGAAGTCAGTGAAACAGAAACAAAGAAACCATGACCAAAATTGCTCAACCTGAGTTGGTCCTTTAAGAAAGAAAAACAAGATAGATCACTAGCCAAGTTACCCCAACCCCTGTCCTGTAAAAGAAGCATATCTGAATTAACAAAATCAGAGATAAAAGGCAAATAATCACAACAGACACCATAAAGATCCAGAACATTATTAGGGAATACTTAAAAAAAACTATATTCTGTTAAGTCAGAAAATATAAAAGAAATGGATGACTCTCAATTAGGTAGAACCACCAAAGTTAAGACTATTTCAACAATTTAACTGATGTATAACAAATAAAGAAATTAAAACAGTAATACAAAGCCCAGGTCTAGAGGGAAAATTTTCCCAGATATTCAAAGAAGATCTAGAAGCAATACTGCTTAAATTATTTAAAAAGATAGAGTCAGAGGTACATCCAAACTCCTTCCATGAATCCAATATTGCTCTAATGCCCAAGTCAGGTAAAGAAAGAAGAACATAAGAAAAGAAAAAAAAAAAAAACTATTGTCCCATAGCTCAAATAAACATAAATGAAAAACATCCTTAATAAAATAACTTGTACATCATACCCAACTATCCAAAAGATCAACAACTACCAAGATCAGGTTCGCATCACAGAGATATAGGGATGGATCAATATATTTAAGTAAATTAACATGACAATTCATATAAATTGAGTTAAAGACAAAAATCACATGACCATCTCAATATACATAGAGAGGCCTTTTCCAAAAATTAACATGCATTCATGATAAGAGTACTAGAGTTAAATGGACTGGAGGAAATTTACCCAAACCTAATTAAGGCTATATACAACAAAACACTGCCAAAATCATTATAAGTGGAGAAAAACTGAAAACATTCCCTTTAAAGTCAATTATTAGAGAAAGTTGTTAGCTATTACCAAGTATTTTCAATATAGTGCTTGAAACTCTATCCAGAGAGACAAGGACAGTAATTAGGGGAATACTAATTGGATAAAAAGCTTAAATTATTTCTATTTGGTGATATATTATATATAAGAGATCCTAAAAAAAATGCTACCCGGACATTTTAAAAAGTGAACAGCACTTTCAACAAAGTGTCAGGGTACAAAATCAATTTGTAAAAGTCACTAGTCTTTCTATATATCAATAAGCAATCAGAAAATGAGATTATGGAAAACCTTCCATTCAAAATATCCTCAAAACATCTAGGAATAAACATAACCTATGTAACCAATGATGTTAATGACCTCTAAACTTGAAATCTTTGAAGAAAGAGACTTCAGAAGACA